TATGGTTGCCAGTTTCAGAATCTCATGGTAAATGACATTTGAAAACTAATATTTATCTCCATGTTGTAATTTCTTTTATTGTGAAATATTTCTGATTTACATCAAAAAAGAAATTCAAGTAATAAATTATTCCTTACTTGCAATTACACATAAATGGATTCGGGTGGTTAATCTTAAGTATGAAATCCGTTTCAAGTGCAATCTCCGAGTAGTTTAATGCCATTATATGTGGAATGATTAACACGTGGTGGGGTTGTTACGCGTAGAAGAATGTATTGTTATTTCTCGTATTCATCAATTATGAGACCTGTGACACATCCGTTACTTAGAAAACGCAGCAACATGATGGAATGCTTTCTTCGTATGTGAGAATTCACCACGTCGTGATAGTGTGCCCGGAATTTCTGGTGTTGATAGTGATTATAAAACGTTCTGAGCGCACAAGTAAGGTTAATCTATGTATGCTAGAAGCCAGAGCGACTTGTACTAATCTGGGGTTATCTGTGGTGTCGTCGTGCTATTAGTTCAGCTGTAAAATCTATTCCCATTCATAAGGACGCGAGCAAGAGGGAGACCATCGGAAATACCCATATTAATTAAGGGGAGCAACAAAAGGAGAGGGGTGTGGAATTTTGTCAGTTTGCCGTTTTTCATTTTGGATATCAAATGTAGCCGTAAAATTCCGAGTAAACAGCACGTCAATAAAAGGTATTGTACTACCTGTTTAAGAAAACTGCCATCCGAGATCAGAATGTCGAGTGACTATGGTTAATCATCTGTCTGCGAAAGGTTGTTCACACTTAATAGTAACTGCGTCTGGATAATCCAATTAATGTCACAATCCTGAAACACTGGATTCTGGGCTTAATACATGTCAATCGACCCTATCAGAAATATTTCTGATGAAAATTAAAAGTATTAGTTTGTTAATTCAGCTTTTATCTACACTAATATATGGTACTTTGCCCGTTTGTTTAAGAAAAACAATTATGTAAGAAAAAAAGTCTACCTGAGTAACTGGCGTTTTTTCCCTTTCTCAACGTATTTAACACAAGTACTGTGTTAACACAATATAAGTTGACCTGACAATGTGATGCGCTGGTAGCCAGATTTATTCATGGGATTTCTACTGGTACGCAGTAGAAATATCGAGTGCTATCCGAAGCAGACTAATGCCCAAATTAACCATGTATCAGTTTGAAATAATTTTAGGTTACTATGGCCATGAATAAGGTTTGAATAATTTTTTCTGGTTAGCGTTTTTTTAGCGAGTTAGTTTTCTACGGGATGGGGACGCTAACCCCATGCCCAACCCTCCTCCTTTATCCGGGCTTGGGACCGGCAGTAGCCCCCGGAGGGACTCCAGGCGGAGTTGGAGAACGCTGGTCAGCGGCTTATGCTCCATTGGGAGTAACAGGCGTAAGTAAGTAAGTAAATGGCCATGAAACTTTTCAGTAGGCTTCCATTATCGTAAGCAATCGTTCGTTTTACGGTCAGCCGCTGAAAGATGCGATAATATGAAATAAAGTATTGATATAGGTAACATATTTAAGCATGGAGAAAATGCTCCGTGATAAAAGCCTATGGTAAATCAGTGTCGAGTTTCGTGTAGTCCAGTTTCTGAGTAGTGACACTGCCACCAGTTAGTAGTAGGCAAAGTTCAGTCAGCAACAACGTAGAACCTCGTGCGTGCGCACATCGTCTATGTTATTTGTATTTTGATAGAGTTTTCTCTGAACTGGATTGTTTGGTCGTGGAGCTTTCATCGTTCTTCTGAACGATATCATCAGCACAAACTTCAGATAGAAGTGAAGCGTTCGAATTTTTCCATATGTGTTTCACAGCTTGTCCTGTACACCTCGATGTTGATTGGTTCTTGTTGACCTTAAATTTGTCATTTACTTCTTTATTTTGGTTGTCTCCCATTGTTTTGGTTTTTGTCCCTATACTTGTGCATAATTTTCATGATTGGTTGATAAATTGGATCGATTTCAATGTACTTGTTGATTGCTGATTGACCTGAGTGCCAGGCTTGTAAAAATTACCTGGTGTTTTTGGAATTTCCTCTATCCAAGATTTCCACATTTTTCCAGTCAAATTAGTGTCTGCAGTTGTCCATGTGTATTAATATAATCAAGGAAATGTCGTGGCGTTTGACTGCTAATCGACGTTCATGTAGGCGTAGGTGGAGGGGGCGTCCGCTTTGTCCGATGTAATGTTTTTCGCAGTTGGCACAATTTATTTTGTAGATGATGTTTGATTTGTCTTCTTTTGTCATTTTATCCTTTGGTTAGCATCCTATGCACCGCCCAATTTTAGCATGATTGTGAGAAGTAGGGTTCACAATACGTCGGCGAGAGTAATTTTGTTCTATGCTGGTGATGCTTGGTGACTTTTCAATCATCGCCAAAGTACTGTGGCCAAAGTTCGACCATGTGTGTTTGGGGGAATTGGTGATAATCTGATTGACCTCACGATTTTTGAAACACCGGTTTCGTTGGCCTAGATATGGTTTACGGACTTCAACCCAGCGGCTTCGACTTTATGCATTATTTGTCCTGCGGAACTTGTTTGTTCAATAATATTTTATTGAATACTAATTTTCTCATTCATCCCATGCGGTTGGTCATATGTAGCTGTTTAAAAAATTTCGCTATGTATTGTGACTTACAAGTATTCTAATGGATGGCAAATGCAGTTGTTACGTAACTTCGTACCTCTACCAAGTGAGTGGTTTCTGCTAAATCATCAACATTATGTTAATTACCAATGATCACATGGAGGTATACGTCCAGCAATTCGGCTGAATGACTTCCAGCGTGTGGGATCAAATAGTCTTAGTAATTGTTCACTAAAAAGCTGAAAGGTAGGGGTTTCATACGATTTTCCCTGATTATGAATGGGAAAAATAGGAAAAAAGACCGTAGCAGAATAATATCAATTCAGTTATTCCTTAAATCTCCCTCAGCTGCTTACAACCTTGAGACCATTTTGTTAATTACTGGAAAAATGAGTAGCCCGTTGTTCTCCCATTATTCAAATCTATACATGGAAGGATTGTATGAAATTCTCAAAGAAACGTCTTCCCGTCAATTCGGTTCGTAAGTGACCATAGGACGTAGCTTACCGTTGTTAATGTTTCTGAATGCATGATTCATATTTCAGGTAATTTCTGCAGGGTGGTTACATTTTCGGTTTAGTCCTTAGGTTTGGCCACCATACGACCAACTCCGTTAAATAAGTTATCAATCTAGATAACTAGTCTTATAAAAATTACTGTAGTGTCTTGAGCAGATTAAATTATTCAATTTTTCACACTATTGACAATTGAGTCAAATTCATCATGATCTAATTTATTTAGTCCATCTAATTCATTGTGATACAGATTTGTGGCTTAGATAAATGGGTTAGACGGTATTATGATCCCTAGATGTTTCAATCGCTTAATGCTCATTGTAGTTTTGGACATCATCAGTTACTTATCTGATTTCTACACTTTCAAATAAAGAAACAACCGGAATTGTAACAGGACAACGTGTTGTGGATCCTCCTCAACTACTTACAACCTAAAAACATTGATAAAAATCATTCGAAAAAAAACACATCTATGTACATTATATCAGTAAAGGATTGAATAAAACTAAGTTTGACATGTAGATGTAGGATAATATAATATAATAATTATGATGAAGAATCTGTTGAAATCCTGGTTTATTTCTAGGGTAAATACATGAATATTCTAGGAACAAAGATTGAAAAGAGAATTTCTGTCGAAATCATTAATTCATGTAGTAAACTACTTAATAATTGATTAGAGAATATGGATTAGTTGAGTAAAGCTCTGTAATAATTCGTGGCCGCCGATTAGAGATCAGTGAATTATCGACCGGACCAAGGACGCATAAAACGCGCGAGCAGTCTAGAGTCCTTATCAGTCCTGCCTAGCCTAGTCAGTTTAGTCCAGAACACAAATCTAAGCCTTTGTGATATGAATCATTTATTTCAAATATACGGGGTTTATATACCAACCAAACAGTACACATCGTACCAATAATATAGGAAACAACAGTTGTACAAAATTTAACTAAATGTGGCTGTGAATGAGTGAGGTAGTAATTGATTGACAGGGCATAATTCAAGAATGGTAAGTGGTGTAATAATAGTTCATAGGTCAAAATAAAGCTCATACTAAGAGGGATATGAATAGTTTAGTTATTTAGCAATTATACGATAGAAATATATGTATAGTACTGGTCCATAATGGATCCCAACAGTTACCATTCATTATGCTTATTGGAGCCTAACAAGCTCAGAAGTAAGAAATTCGCATTTATAATTAAGGTCATGGGAAAGAACTTATGTAACATTCTTTTGGAAATAAGGTCACTTGGTATAAAAAACGATTGATAATTATCTTTTAGGTATAGAAACTTGGTTGAAATCTATTTATATAGTAACCACTTCTGTAATGGATAATAAATGTGATATATTTTTTGTTGGTCGATTACTTAGAAGGATTCTGAAACATCAACATTATGTCCATCGTAAAGCAATTGTACTAATGTGCAATTTTGTTGATTTAATCGCAACTTTTGTGGAATGTGTTCGGAGTTTCGGATATAAAACTTACCTTCTGTTCTTCTGATGTTTGTGCTATAGTAAATGTGCGTAAATTAGTGGAGACAAGATAACGTGTGAATGCTTACAGTTCGATTGTTTCAGTTAGCGTTTTGTGTGGTATAGAAGGACCGTCTCGGAGGCTGGATACGCCCTTTTCATTATTGCCATTAATCTAAAATCAATTAATCTTCCCTGTTATTTTGTCACACTTGAAGTCAAGTTATAGGAAGACAGGATTTTCCTCAATAGTAGTATATTTCTTTCCCTTTATCCTGGCCGTTTTATGCTTAGTCATGGATTTTTGTGGATAACCTTTATCACTCAAGCAACGTTCGACTATGGTTAATCCCTCAATTCCATCCTCAGAAGATGCTATCCATAAATTACTGAAGCTATGATGCTTCAAGTATAGCCCACTTTACATGTCCCTTCAATAAGTATGCCTTTCCAAATGACCACTCGGATTACTGGTAGTATTGAAATCTAAAGAACGAAACATTTCATATTCCGTCATAAATGCAATGTTTAGACAGTGACGTATCCAGCTCACACAAAGACTTTCGCGTTTTACCAGAAAATATGTCAGATGCATCAAATGATGGTCAGAAATCTAATACAATTTTGATAGATGCTAATTACCTTGATGATCGATTATCTACAAATGTGGTTCCCAATAAATTTGGTCACAATATTTCAAAAGAATCAAACTTCGGTGATCTTATGTCAAGCATCGTTCAACCTCCCCACTCAGTCACTTCCAGTCGGTTCTCTGCTCAGTGTGACAAACATGTCTTAAATAAATTCAAATTAATTGTAACTTGGGCATATGAGGATCCAACACTGTTTCGTGGGAGAGGATGAACTCGGAAAAATTAAAATCCGGATTTTCGAAAAAGGGGAGGTGATATGATGGAAAGAAAAAAAAATCAATTTTTGATTGATTTACTCATTATGAGTTTTATTCAACATTCAACATCCGTTTTGATTCAACGTGAGGATCATTCAGTGTAGTATTTGATTGTGTTTTCCCAGTATGATATTTTCTTGTGTATAATAAGCGATATTCTTGTATTCACTTGACATGAACTATGCTCAGTAAGTGATTTGTTATAACTGAGTATGTGATTTCATCCTAATTATTAATCAAAATGGGTGTACAATCAATATATAGACCAGTGTATTTTAGACGAGATTCGATTCGTCGTCGTTATAGTGTTTGGGGGCTAATAAATCTTCACTTATACTAGTCTTGTGTTCTTACTTTCGCATCGTGGGAATTGCCGAGGTCCCTCGTTCCGAGTATAAGTGATCAGCGCTTTTTTCCGACACAACAATTGCGACGACCGAACATAACAGCTCTATCGAAAAGACCCAATGCACGAGAAACAAGTTAATAATAATTACATGCAACACATATATCATTAATATTCCTGACATTCAACGTTATCATTAGTTGCTAATTTTATCATAGATCTAGATTACCCAGAATTGAACCAAAACGACTATCCATAACCATTTCACCAATTTGAGCTGCGAATCTCCATCACAATAACTTTTAGATGGACTGGTAAATTGGATCACCTCAAGCTTTGATCTAGAGGTCTAATCTACAAGGCAGTGAAGCAAAATTAGGCAATGTAGTCCCATGGTATCCGGTTATCAACAGTTGGTTCATACGTCATTTGTTCGTTCAGAATCCTGGAACCCATGTGACCATTGGTTTGGAATCAGGGTTTTCCAACTCTCCTAGGTAGATTCTCTGAATCCACGACTCGGTTAAATCGATGAATGTTCACTCTTCGTTCTCTCATTTTTGTAAACAACAGTAATGCCCTGAGAAGGCATTGAGTAGGACTTCCCTGGTAGTGGTTGTATAGGCGAGGCCATTTGGGAGCATTTCGAGAGGGAGAGCTAACTCTCCACGCTCTTGGTCGTACCAGCGAATTTGGGGGTTGGGTCATGATGGGTTTGACTCAGTTGTCAATAATACGAAAAACTGAATAATCTGCACTCCAATAATTGGTTTGTTTAAGACAATACATTATTGTATAGTTCGTGTTCTCTTGATCGATGGTGTAATTATGTGCCAGTGGAATAATTTTGATAAGACTAGTTATCCAGACTAATGACTTATTTAACGGAGTTGGTCGTATGGTGGACATACCTAAGGATTAAATCAGAATTATCAAATAACAATAATGGCTAACGTTCTTCGTTTTGCCTTCTAAAATCCCGACGATTTATACACAATTAGTTATTTACTGACTAGATCTAGAGATTAAATGATGTCGTTGACGATTGAACCTAAATTAAGAGAAAAACAGGGTATAGATTTATTTTTTTGACGTCATTAATAAAAAACAATTAGTATGAGTGAAACAGACTGATTTCACAGATTTATTTTACACCGATAACTAGTCAGAACTGATTGACGTTTGGTTGAATGTAGCTCATTGCTGATTAATTAGCTGAGTTACCTTATGAAGATTATGAAGCATGTTTAATCTCTCTCCTAACACAATCCATTATCAGTTTAGGGGTCGTGGAGATTGTTAAGTTTTTGATTGAGATCATGAACCGATTGATGTTAGACGACCACTGAAAACCTGGAATCACTGGATGACTGTTTCGTCCTATTGTGGGACTTCACAGTGCGCATCCACGACCCGGCCTAGCGGGGTCTGAACCCAAGGCCTCCAGTCTCGCTTTCGAACGCCTAACCTCTTGACCACTGAGTGGGCATCCAATTGTGTTAATGTCTAACCTCAACCAATCCATTAGACATTAACACCCCTGGGTGCCGGCTCAGTGGTCCACTATGTTGGGCGTTTGCGAGCGAGTCCGAAGGCCCTGGGTCCGAATCTCACGAGTGGGCCCTTGGATGGGCACTGATAAGGAGTCCCACAATAGGAAGAAACGGCCGTCCAGAGCTTCTAGGTTTTCAATGCTGGTCTAACATCAATCGGTTCATGATCTCGATCAAATAAAACAACCCATTATGTAGGTTTAGAATTCTGAACTAGTTTTCTTTTCTCATTCTGTGACACTTCTTATATAAATTTATTATTGGAATCGGTTTCTAATAACTCTTTGAAAAATGAGTCACAGGATATATATAGAATTACATTCACTTGGTATTGCTTACTTGAATCTTCCCATTGTTGTTTGGGACTGCAATTGATCAATCTCTTATTGGTATATGTGCATCCTGTGAGGATTGCCTCGATATTGCCTTAATTCACAAGCATTTAAAGTAAAGATGGATGAACTCAGTAGGTAAAAGGATAACACGATGGTATTTGAACCGAATGGTACTAATTTCGAGTCTCAGAGTGAACATCATCTCTGAGATGCAGGTATATCCAGTTGAAGTGTCCCAAAAAGGACGAAATGAGCGTCCTGTATTCTGCTGCTAGCAACTATCCATCTTTATTATTTTGTTATAATATATCGCTTTATGAATTATTTTATTTCTTTTCTGGTTACATTTAATAACGAATCAGAAATCAAAATTGCAATTCAGTTCACGTTGTCAATCAATACATCCATTCTCCTAAACTACAGTATCCCCGGAATCTGTGATTTTACTGGCTAATGTCTAAATATTTTGTCATTTCATTGCAACTACTTGTAAGTACATAAAGTAATTTTACAAAATTTATTCGAAGATATTTTACGACACTCATAATGATAAAAACAAATGAAGAAGCTGTTCGATTATTTCCATCTCGGTGATTGTAAATCTTGTTTACATAGACTATGTGCTTCACATAAGCTTTTCTCTAAGTGAAGTTTTGTTTTCTGAGCTGAATGTTTTGGTTATCACGTGACGAAATCGTCTATCAGAATATCGATTTGTTTGAATTTGCTTCTGTTCTAAACCAATTACACGTCAACCAGCACTAGAAACTTTGCATCAAATATGAATCCTTATTGGTTTTTAAAATGGTAACTTCTTGCTTAACCGTACCCGTTGAGTCTAGAGCACAATCTCAGCTTTCAATTTACGAATAATATATTTCTGACATTGGTAGTTTATGTACAAGCAAACCAGCCCGCAGCAAATCATAAAAACAAAATTAATAATTATACAAGATCAAGCTAAAAGTGCCTGCGAATATGAGAGACTGTAACTAATAGATTGGGAATAACATGAGAATAGTGAATCTCATAACAGTAGTTCATGGGTCAAATGAAAGCTTTTGGTAAGAAAAATGTGAATTTATATAATAATCTAGCCATTTGACAACCATACAATTAGAATATATATGTAATAACAGTCTATAAATAGTTCCCGAAAGTCATACCCTGGTTTCTTTAGTATTTCCCAATTCCAAGTTTGCACTACTTGTCAATCGCAATATTAATGATACCATTTTCACATCCTTTTCCAGCTGTCATTTAAATCCTTCATGGTTCTTTTAATTCTGTCTTCTTTTCAATTTCTTTCTGTTCACTTCATTTCAACTTCTCAATTTTCTGTTTTCTATTTATTCCACTTTTGATTGGTGTTTTATACTACTTCTATCTGTTAACATAAGTGGAATACACCGCACTACAACAACAACGACAAATACTACTACTAAGACTACTATGACTACTACTACTACTACTCGGTCAGTTGGTTTACGATCCATCGAGTTTAACTCTTACTCATCATGTGTTTGATGTTATTTCGTAATTGATTCTTTAGTTGATATCAGTATTTTTTTTGGGGGGGTTAGGGTATATCATTTATGTTTCATACAAACTAATGTGATTTATGACATGATGTTATTCAATATGACCTTAATTGTAATTAGATCAAGTTATAACCTATAGATTTAAACAATCTAAATGTTATTAGAGATTTGTATATTTGACATTTAGTGATGATCACTAGTTAAAATGAATTTGAGTAATCCAAATGATTAAAAGGGTAGATTAAATAGATGTTCATTGGGAGACTTGTACAATAATCTCTTTCTTGTATGATACTAGAAGAAGAAATAAATTGTGTGATGTATTTAATTAACGGTTCTTTAGAATATATATTCGATTGTATTATCTTCAAACTAATACTAACTAATGGATACTCAACATCCATTGGTCGGATACCATCAGCAACAGTCTACTGTGGGAGAGAAGAAACCAGCTTTCAGCCGAAGAGGAAATTAGGAAAACACGATGGAAATGGATAGGAAATACATTACGCAAATCATCAAACTGCATCACGAGGCAAGCCCCGACATGGAATCCTGAAGGGAAGCAGAAAAGAGAAAGGCCAAAGAACACATCACGTCGGGGAATAGAAGCAGATATGAAAAGGATGAATAACAACTGGAAAGGATTGCCTAGGACAGGGTTGGATTGGGAATGCTGGTGAGCGGCCAATGCTCCTTCACGATGAGTAACAGGAGTAAGTAAGTAAGTAAGTAAGTAATTATCTTCAAACTATCTTAACATATAAAATAATCAAACTTTTTATATTTTACTTATAAAATCTAAATGTAGAACTGATATTAACTGTATAATGTGAAATATTTTATGTAGGTTAATCACAATTCTCGGTCCTGGGTTCGAGTTCCGAGTGCGGGATTGTGGATGCTCACGACTGAGGAATCCCATACTAAGACTGATAGGATGGAAAGAAAAGTTAATTTTTCGATTGATTTACTCATTATGAGTTTTATTCAACATTCAACATCCGTTTTGATTCAACATGAGGATCATTCAGTGTAGTATTTGATTGTGTTTTACCAGTATGATATTTTCTTGTGTATAATAAGCGATATTCTTGTATTCACTTGACATGAACTATGCTCACTAAGTGATTTGTTATAACTGAGTATGTGATTTCATCCTAATTATTAATCAAAATGGGTGTACAATCAATATATAGACCAGTGTAGTTTAG